GGATGGGGAATATAGGGAATGTATGGAGTATAGATGTATAGAAGCTATAGAGAATACAGAGGGTATAGGAAATATCGGGGGTATAGAGATATATGGGGTATCGAAAATATAAAGGATATAGGAAGTGTAGAGAATACAGATGGTGTAGGAGGTATAGGGAATATAGAAGGGATGTAGGAAGTATAGAAATATAGGGGATATGGGCCGCATAAGGAATATTGGTAGTATATGTAGTATAAGGAGTATCAGAGTTTATAAGGACTTCAGAAAATATAGAGAGTGTCTATGTGTATCCAAAAAAAAGCAGTCGTGCAGGTTGCACCCGCTCTAGTTACTATGGATATAGAATAAGGATATACAGTAAGGCTAGGGGGAAGCAGTGGGGACTTCGCTCATGAAGTCCAATCAAGTCCTGAAGCCTTTTGAAACCTTTTGAAGTCTCGTGAAGTCTTGAAGTCCTCTATTTTTTCTCTGTCACGAAATCCCGTGAAGTCCGTGAAGTCCCTGAACTCTCCTGAAGCCTTTTGAAGTTTCTTGAAGTCCTATGAAGTCTCATGAAATCTCGCGCAGTTCCATGAAGTCTTTAGCAGTTTTGTGAAATTTGAAGTCACTATGGCTGAAGTTCGTTGAAGTTCTTGAAGTTTTTTGAAGTCCTAAAGTCTTGAAGTTCGCTGTTTCCCCCTTGGAGTCATACTATGGGCTATTTAATTTCAGTCTGAATTTATCAAATAAAAATAATACTTGATTTCAAACTGAAACGTGAGTCTAGGAGTGAGGGGGGGAAGTGACTGAGGGTGTGGGTGTTGGTCTGGGACCCACACACACACCCACACCCATGGTGCGGGTGTGGGCGCGCGAGTGAGGGTGAGGGTGTGCTTGTGACTTTGTGTACTATAGGCTTTAGTCCCCTGCACAAGGGACTAAGCGGGGACTAAGCTTTTCGTGGGGGGGACTAAGGGGGACTTTGCAGGACTAGGGGAGACTAAGGGTTTTTAGTGGGACTACGTAGTATCAAACGAGAAAAGTTTGATTCGGAAGAAGTTGGTGCGGTTTTTTTGATTTTAGAATTCAGTTTGAAATAAAAAAGCCCATAGACTCCTTGGAGTAAGGGTATAGTTCTAGCGCCATAGAATAAGGGTATAGTTGTAAAGGTCTAGAATAAGGAAACAGGATGTGTGGGTGTGGGTGTGGGTGTGGGTGTGGGTGTGGGTGTGGGTGTGGGTGTGGAGTGACTGTGGGTGTGGGTGAGTTTGGGTGTGGGTGTGTGGGTGTGCGTGAGTGTGGGTGCGGGTGTGTGGGTGTGAGTGTTGGGTGTGGGTGGATGTGGGTGTGGGTGCGTGGTTGTGAGGTGTGGGTGGTGAGTGGTTGGTGGGGGTGTGGGTGTGGGTGGTGAGTGTGGGTGGGTGTGGAATTTGGGTGTGTGCGCGAGGGTGGTAGGTGTGGATGTGGGCGTGGCTGTGGATTGGTGTGCGATGTGGGTGTGTGGGTGGTTGCCGGTTGCGAGCTCTCCCAAGATCCACACCGACAGTCGCATGCGCAGTCACACAGAGACACCCATGTCATACCCACACCCACACCCTCGTATTATTTGAGATAGTCAACTACGGAATTTGACATCAAACTGTGAGTGTAAATGAGTGTTTTCATCCCGTAGAGTGTTTTAGATTTCTACGTAACAGTCATTCATAATTTGCGCATATAGGTATCAAAAGTTTTTTCGTAAAACATCAGTTTACAATTCAACTTGACGACTCTTTTTTTTCTGTAAAACACTATTTGACACAGGAATGAAATAAATCGCACTATTCTAATGAGATGTAGAAAAAAATAGCGATGCATATTACCTTCAATCGATTGTCAACTGCTGTTCTTGTGTTTTGTCCACGAAAGTTTTTGCTTCAGACGCCATTCTTTTTTATTCCAATTTATTCATTCTTAGTTGTTTGTCAAATATATATAGACGACAGCGTACAAATATTGACAACGAATCATATTCTCCTCGGATTTCTCACAAAAATTATTCGAAGGTGTTTTTTTTGCAGGGTGGATTTCTTCTCAGCGGAAAAAACTTATTCGAAGGTATTTCAGAGCCGCCTCTGGAGACGGGTGTTTTTCGCATTTCAAGCGAAGATCATCCGTGAGGATGTGGGTGCGGGTGTGGGCGAGGATGTGGGTGGGTGTGGGTGTGGGTGTGGGTGTGGGTGTGCGTGTGCGTATGGGGTGTGGGTGTGGGTGTGGGTGGGTGTGGGTGTGTGGGTGTGGGTGTGCGGGTGTAGGTGTGGGTGTCAGTGTGTGCTTGGGTGTAGGTGCGTGGGTGTAAGTATGCAGGTGTGGTATGGGTGTGGATGTCGGTGTGGGTGTGAGTGTGGACTCATGTCTTCTTGTAACCCATACTCAGGGTGTGGGTGTGGGTGTGGGTGTAGGTTTTCTCTTCATCCGCACCCACACCCCTCACCCACACCCACACCCACACCCACACCCACACCCACACCCACACCCACCCCCACACCCACACCCACACCCACACCCACACCCACACCCACATCCACATCCACACCCGCACCCACCACAAGAATTATAGCCACTTTCTTTATTTACCTGAATCTGACATGTATACAATTTGACTCGTCAATTGCACTGTGGAGTTGTCCAATGCGGCTCTGAAAGTTCATAACGGATTATAATCTATGTATACGACCGCATTTGAATTTTTGTCGTTTCTTTACAAAGATCGATCCATATTGATTCTTCACATCATTAATGCTGTCACTCATGATTGAAGCAAGTAAAATGGATCAATAAACTCAACGACATGCGCAATTTTTTTTCTATACAAGAAAAGGAACAAAATGCATGTTGCTTTTTTGCCAAAGAAGTAATTATTTTCTGTCGTACGCTTATTTATTCTCCTCTTTTGAAAAACATTTTTTTTCACAGTACGTTATATACGAAGAAATAGCTTATCTATCTAGTTCTACACGCAATTTTATTCTTTGAAAATCCATGAGTTACATGATTAACTTTTACTAAGATTAGTATGTGATCAACAACGAACGTCGACGAATGAATTCTCGAAATAATATACCTCATTTATCAGTGAAGATGTTTGGTGTTGAAAAATCTACGATTCTTTAATGTGTAACCCAGAGCAGTATAGATGTATCAATCGAAATCTGTCACCGATTGCCCCAAATCGTGTACTTACTTTCTCGTTATACTTACTTACAATTGATTTTTGCAATTGAAAAAATTGAGTAAATCATTTTTAGAAACTGATTGGACTTAGACTTCTTTAACCTTAGCTACCTTAGATCAGATTTTATCAGATAGCGTTCTTCTCTCCTAAAGCCTTTTCTTTAGGAAAAAAAAAGCTCAAAAAACTCATCGTTGTCCAGATGACATAACCTATAACTTAAACCAATTTATTATCAGTTATTTGTTGTTAGGAAGGCAATAGTGGTGACCATTTACTGGTATGCAGACAGCTACTAATGTAACGGCCATGATAACCGTGGCTATATCTACGATAATTGGCTGAAGCAAGTAAATAAGAAAAAAAAAAGATTTGATTAAAGAAAATAATGATTATTTATAATAGCTGAAGAAAATAAATTGGAATAGACGAACCCAAATCTGAATTCAGATTCTTAAATTTTTCAATTTACTTTTCCCAATACTAAATCCTTTTGTGAAAGTCGTCTTTTTTTAGAGAATTTTGTTCTTAAAAAGCGTTATATGTGAAAAACTAGAACTAAAAATTTTCAAAAGTGGACTTCAGATTCGAATTCTTTACCCTCGATTTATTTTTGTCAACCTTTATAAGAACATAGTTATTTTCTTTAAAAAGTTTTGTTTTTTTGTGACAAGCGGTTTAAACTGATAACTGTACCTACGATTGTCGTAGTAAGACAGGCAAGCATAGGTGAGTGAAGAGCACAGCCATTGTACCGTTGTGTTCCGAAAAGAAAAATGCTTATAAGTCGAGATTGGCTCAATCGATTTTAATAATTTTTTTTTTATTTTACCGGTCTAAGGATGGTCATTCACTTCTGAAAAAATCAAGTTCCTACGTGTTTTAGTTTCCGAGAAATCATAGCAACAGTGTTAAATACCTAGCTCCTAGTGCCACCTGTCAGAAGAAAACCAATTTTTTTATTCCATTGAATTTTTTTTTAAGATTAATTTTGCAGCTAGAGTTGTAGTATTCATCAAGAGCTTTCAGAATATGCCTTTATTTTTAGCTTTAGAGAAAGTCTTATGAATGAAAAACTGTCGATAATGGCCGTTGAGACACTTTTTCATTTTTGCGTAGGGCGACATTAAGATCATTGGTGTTTCGTTTGGAGAAATTTTTTTTGTCTTAATTTGGTTGGATATCAGAGAGAACTAAGATACAAATAATTTGAGAAAAAAAAGAGGTTTGTTCCATAAAGTTCGTTAGCGCAAAAATTTTATATAAGATAAAAAAAAATGAATTTTAGACAAAATGTAGGGTGACATTTTTAATTTGGTTTTTGCTATAACTCAATGAATACTTAACCGTTTGCGACAAAAATTTGATCTTTGTTCAGGCTCATAGAGTAGAGTAATACTTCAAAAAATCAATTGAAAATATCGCTCCGTTCTGGAGAAAATTCAATTTCACTAGAAAAACGTAGGGCGACATTTTTGTGATACAAAGTGTAGGGCGACATTTTTCGAAGCAATGGTTCACTAAAACTGCTTGATATATGAAAATAACATACATGAGCTAGCTCTGTGCCGAGAATTGTTTCATACTAAGATCATTTTCGTACTTATCTTAAATTCGAAAAAAGTATCTATGGCTAGGTTAAAAAGACTTTCAATGAATGAGCGCATTTGTCAGTCATTATATCCTCAACCATTGAAGCATGTTATGACTTTTGTCAAAATAAAAGATGTACATGTAGATTAAAACCTCGATTAAGTTAATAACTCTGATTTTAACGGTCTACTATTTTAGAAATAAATAGTCGACAATGAAAACAGGACATATAGCTGCCTTGACTCGTGATCAAAAATACAAAATGAAAATTAATCTGAAACGATTGACTTCGAAGTCTTTTGATAAAAAATATAGGAAAAAAAAAGCAATTTATCAAGCTATCTATCGTCGTAATAAAAAACAAGAAAGATTAGATGAACAAACAACAATGTCATCAACATCATCAGTGACAACCGATCGAAGAAAAAATGAAGGTCAACGTCGTCGTCGAGCAAATATAAATAAACTGAAAAATGAAAATACAAAATTACGTGAAAGAATGCTGGAGCTAGAAAAAGAAATGAAACAACTTAAGTCATCATCACAGTCAACAAATGAAGATTCATTACATGAAACACCAACATCATCACCAACAAAATTGTTGATATCCAGTTTAAGTCCACCAGCTAAAAAACGAGCAACTTTACGGATGATGAACAGAAAGGAAGGTCTTCAGCGTGGTACAATATCAAGTATTCGAAGAAAGTTTGGTATTAACTTATCAAATACATATTCACCTCCATCGTCTACGCCTTCTCAACTTGAAGAAGCAATTCAAGATTTTATGTGTAGAGATGACGTATCGAAATTATGTCCAGATAAAAAAAAACAAATAAATCATCATCAAATACGATATCGATTAAACCATTTAACAGTTCTGCATCAACAATTTGAAACAGAAACAAAAATTGATGTTGATTATCATACATTTCGACGCTATGTTCCTTCGTTTATTGTTAAACCAAAAGTCGATGGTTGGGGTACATGTTTGTGTATTTGTTGTTTAAATCCACAGATAAAATTAGATAAATTAAATCAACTAGTATCAACAAAACCAATAATTAAACAATTATTAAACTCCATGCCAGTTGATTTAAACGAAGTATTAAACAATCAACAATCCACAAACAATTGAAAGATGCTTTACACCAGCTCAAAGGTGAAAATTTTAGCGTAACTTATAATGAATGGCAAAAAATCAAAACACCAGGAAGTTCTTCAACAGTATCAAAAAAAGTTCCATTGGTAGTAACGATTGAAGATTTTGTAAAACAATTTTCATTGGAAATTGAAGTTGCATTTCGCTTGCATATTTGGCAGAAAGATTCATCATTTTTTTGTTTTAATAGAATCTTGAACAACATTTGGAACGTATTCATCAACAATTCAAGGCAGCTAAACAAGCAAAAATCGATGCACAACAATCAGATGATACTGCAACAATGCAAATTGATTGGGCAGAGAATTACTGTATTCGACAAGCTCAAGAAGAAAAAGGTATCTCAAAATGACTGAACAACTTTCGAGGAATCCAGTGAAATATTTTGTTTACGTTTGCGTGTCTTAGGGGCATATTATTTCGAAAATCATGTATCTCTACATTCAGGATATGTTTGGTTGAAAAACAATGCATTTAGTTTTTGTTCAATGTCCAATTGTACAAATCATATGGCCGAAGCTGCATGGTGCAGTATTAAAGACTTATTGGATTATTTGATCAACGATCAGCAGAAAAAACAAATTAACATCATATCGGATTCTCCATCTTCACAATATCGTAATAAAACAACCATTTATATGTTAAACCGATATGCAACAAAGCATAATATTACAATGAGATGGATTTTTCTTGAATGTGGACATGGAAAGGGAGTGGCTGATGCCATTTCAGCTCAAATGAAAAGAAAAATGGACGAATGCATTTCATTCAATCCAACTAAATCATATGAAAAATCATTAGATTTTGTTCGTGAAATTCAAAATTCCACATCAATCAAATTATTCATCTACGACCAATCTCATATTGATGAAATAAAAAAACAAATACCACGTACATTACAAACAGTTAAAGGAACAGCTGAATTTCATGAGGTAATTGCTGAACCAACTGGTTTAGTCTTTGGTAAAAAAACATCTGATCAACCGCAAGTAAAGTTGACATTAAGATTTTAAAAAACTACCTATTCCAGAATAAGTTTCAAATGCTAAATATGAGTATAAACTATAGACATTTTATTTTCTCTGATTTATTTTTGCTGCGTGTATAACAGTAAGTTACTTTTTTAGGAGTGTACTGTGTTTTATATTAGCTTTAAAGAAAAGAATAAACGATTTGAAATAAAAGTTTTAATTTATTCCTGCAAAACACGAGCACTGATAAAATTTATTATGCATATGATGGAAATATTGCTGTCGGTAGCGAAGTATTGAATGTTTGTAATGGAATCGTGGAGGCAGGGAGGGAAGCTCAGCATCGAGATCTTACCATGCTTAACAAGGTGAATCTTACCGAGATCTGTTGAATTGTGTATGATTAATAAACATTTTCTGAATATTTTCTTCAAAAAATCATTATTTTGAAGTAAAAACCATTATCATTGTGTTCACTTAGTTTTATATCGTGAATCTCCACAACAACACATGGAAGTGTTGGGAAAATATTATTTTCATGTACAATCGACATCGCTCTGTCAAACGCAACACTTAGTTCTCTCTCATTATTAAATTTATTTTTATCGATTTTTTTGCTTAAACGGTACAATGGCTGTGCTCTTCACTCAGGTATGGTTGTCGTAGTTGGATCGGTAATCATAGGTAAGGTCTATTATAATAGTTGGACTAATAATCGTAGGTAAGGCCTATTATAATAGTTGGACCGATAACTGTAGGTACGGTTATCGTAGTTGGACCGATAACCGCAGGTACGGTTACCGGTCTATGTACGGTAACCGTACCTACGGTTACCGTAGTCGGACCGGTAACCGTAGGTACGGTTACCGTACATGGACCGGTAACCGTACCTGCGGTTATCGGTCCAACTACGATAACCGTACCTACGGTTATCGTCACTGTTGCATCCCTACATCTCACGCAGGACTTTTTTCGACTATATTTTAAACAATCAACCCATGTAACAATAAAATATGCATTTAACGAAGAGAGGGTTGAAATTAACGTCAAAACTTGCGTTAAGAGACAAATTAACGAAGTTTAACGAAGAAAGCTGCATTATTTTTCGTTAAATTAGGAAAAATCGTGAAAACACGTTAGATTTTTCACGCTTTTTCACGCGTTGTTGT